CTCTCTCCCTCCCTCTCCCCCCCCCTTAGGTTGGCTCGGACGCAACCACTGTCAGCTCCTCCCCCTCCTTCTCCGTCTTCACCCTTCCTTTCACTCCCTTTCCCTCGCCCTTTGGTTACGTCAGGCGGACACGCCGATGAGCCAATCACGGCGCTGTGTTTAGAGGCCGGCAAGCGGAACCGGTCGGATTGGACCAATAGAAGCCCTCGGATCCGGCGCGCCCCAACCGGGCAGGGGAGCCGGGGCCGAGTGGGCGGTGCTTCTCCGTCAGCATGTGGGCGGGGACCAGCAACCGCAGAGGCGTCGACGACGGCGGCAGCAACGACGACGTTCCTCAGTCTTCGGGGTAGGCTCGGCGGCGCCGGCAGGGCAACGCGGAGCGGTCGGCGGTGGCCCTAGGGAGGCCGCGGCGCCATGGCGCGGCGGTAGACGTGCTCAGGCCGGCGAGGCGAGAGGCGGCGGTGTTCATCCGGTCCGCAGCGCCCTTCGGCAGGGGCCGGGGGTGGGGAAGACCGGGTCGGGGGTTGTCCCGGGCAGCGCGGGGCCGCGGGGCGGGGCTCGCAGGCCGTCGGGGTGCAGGAGGCCTGGGCCGCCGCGAGGAGCCGCCGCAGGCCGCTGGGCCCCGCCGCCGGGCCGCTCGACGACGACGCTCCCGCGGGGGCCCCGCCTGAGCAGGACGCGGCCGCGGCGGCTGCGAGGCCGCGGGAGGCCGCGGAGGATGGAGGAGCGGAAGGAGGAGGGCGAGGCCGAGATCCAGGAGCACGGGCCCGAGCACTGGTTCTCCAAGTGGGAGCGGCAGTGCCTGGCCGAGGCCGAGCAGGACGAGCAGTTGCCCCCTGAGCTGCAGGAGGAGGCGGCGGCCGCCGCGCAGCCCGAGCACAAGCAGCAGAAGCTGTGGCACCTCTTCCAGAACTCGGCCACCGCCGTGGCCCAGCTCTACAAAGGTGAGGGCCGCCGCCGCCGCCATTTTGCGCCGCCGCCCCCGCCTCGCGCCCGGCCGTCGGCGGAGAGCCCGGGGAGCGGTTGGCTGGGCTCCGGCCGTCGCAACGCGGCCCCACCGCCCCCTCCTCGCAAGATGGCGCCGCGGGAGGCGGGCCCTCGGGAGGCGGCCGGGGGCCGGCGCGGGGGGCGGCCGGGCTTGGGGCCGCCCGTGGGGCCCTCCCGCTCCTGGGGCCGGGCCGCTGGGTGCCCCCGGGCCGGGGAGGGCAGGGGAGGAGCCCCCGGTCACAAAATGGCGAAGGGAGGCGGCGCGGGGGCCCTATTGTGCCGGAGCCGGCCTCGGGGCGGGGACTGCGAAGGGGTGCCTCTCTCTGCCGCGCATCTGTCCCGGCTGCGCTCGGGGGCCCCGCGGCTCCCCCTCCAGCCCCGCCGCGACCCCCTTCTTGCCCGCTCCCCACCTAGCGCGGGATCCCGGCACCCTTGAACAAAATGGCGAAACCTAATATGGCCGTTCCGGAGTGATTGACGCCCAAATAACATTGCATTTTCTTTTTCTTTTTTTGTCTTTGTGTGTTTTTTTCTCTTTTTTTGTTTTGTCTCTTTCCTTTCGTCGTTTTTCAGACCGAGTGTGTCAGCAGCCAGGACTTTCTCTTTGGGTTCCCTTCCAAAATGCAGCCACTGCCGTCACCAACCTTTACAAAGGTAAGGACAACTTTGCTGCATTGCTGGCTAAGGGGAAGGGCGGTCTGCGTCAGGGTTTAAGTCCTGCGTTCCTTAGTGCATTGGCCACCTTGACCTGGAGGTATCTCCCGAGTGTTTTCTGCTTCTGAATCCAGCCACTAATTCTCAGTATCTTGCAACTTGAGAATTCTGGCGGTGTGATGTTATATCTAGATAACGGGTTCTCAGCTGGGGGCGTTTGGTCCGGGCGTTTGGTCCCCTCACCCCATGGCGATGTTTGACAATGTCTGGGGCACTCCAGAGTGTCATCACTGAGTGGAGGCCGCTAACTGTCCTCGGTGCACGAGACAGCCTCTCCACCCCCCAAATGGCAGTAGTGCCGAGGTTGAGAGGCCCAGAGCTCCAGACTGTGAGATGTGCTTCTTAGGCACCCAGGGAAGAGGAGTGTGTCTCGCACAGAGGTGGGAGGGACAACTTGTTTGCGGAAAAGCACCTCTTGGAATAGTTTTTCTTGAGTTAGACAATTTCGAGCATGATGGTGGCACAGCATAATTTAAGTGCGTCGAAAACTAGCTAATTGGAGTGATCTGTACACACGTTAATTAACATGCAGATGTTTGATGGAGTTGCTCTTCCCTAGCAACTCCATCAGTATTTGCCTTCCAAGCTACTTTCTGCCCGATGGTACATTGTTGGCAGGAAATCTGATCAGTTTGAGTTGATATCAAGATTTGTGTTTCATGGCAGTGCTTTTCTGCAGTTAATCCCCGCCCCCCACGTGAAGATATGTGAGTAAATGTTCTTGCCCATCGTGTTCTCTCAGCAACAGTGGGTTTAGATTTGTTTTGAAGATTTGGAAATCTGGGTTTGATATTTGGCAAGGTTTCTGTGGGAGAAGGATTTGAATTTGAGTGTTAATTTTAGTAAAAATGTAATTTAAATAAATGCTTTTAAACTGCCAGAAGCTGTTGATAATTGCAGTAGAGCTTTGTGTTTTTCAGAATTATCTAAATAAGGTTGAAACAGGCTGTGGAGTGACTTGATTCTCAGATTCTTATCTGCATAAGAATAAGCTAATTAAGATAGCATTCTTTAGGGAAAAAATCCCTTATTTTGGATTTCCTTTTAGACCTTGCAGTTTTTTGGGATGATAATTTGAGAATGTAAACTGAACCTGGTGAATAGAATGTTAATTTCAGGGAATGAGGAGCTAATAATCTAGGCTTACTGAGAAAAGGAAACCTAATGGAATGGTGCCCCAGTGGTCAGCTTTGATTTTATATAGCTGAGTTCCTTAAATTTTGACTCTAACATTCACTACTGCTTGAGGGTTTTTAACATTCTCTGGAATGGCTCTTGGTTTCACCCAGACAGGGAATTTTGAAATAATACTTGAAACTCATATTTTTGGAAAACTCTGCTTTCTTGGACTATAATTTACATATAGTAAAATCACCGTTTTAAGGTGTATGGCGTGAATTTGACAAACATACATTGTTAGTAAATGGAATATATCTATTCCCCCCACCCCGGGCAACCGCTGATCTGATTTCTGTATATATGGTTTTTGTGTTTCCATAATGTAATAAATAGAACCTTATAGTAGGTAGCCTTTTCTGTTTGGGTTTTTCTATCCACTTTTCATGTTTTTGAGATTGATCTATTCAGTTCACATTGCAGGTATAAGTGCTTTTTGTTTTTCTGACTAGTGTTATGTGTGGAGGTATCACGGTTTATCCATTTCAGGTTTTGCAATTATTTTTTGCTTTAAGGGGAAAGCAACACATAGTTTTAGTCCATCTGTGTGCCATGCTCTTGGACTAGGCCGTAGAAAAATATGAACGTTCTCTGACTTCTCAGTTTTTGGTGCTGTTGTGTGCTCCTGGAATGCATCTCTTTAGGACTGTAGCTGGCGGTTTTCTTTAGTGTTAATTCTTCATGTAAAAAAGTGGGCTCAGAAGCTGAACTCTGAAATAATCCCTAATTTGATTTCTTGATTTGAAAATGCTTCTTATAATGTGTTAGTTTCCTTTGTTCAGAAAATGTAATGAAAGACATTAAATTCCTTTTTAAATAAACATGAAGTTCTTGCATTATGGCAAATGTTGGATTGTCAGTCCAACCTTAGTTTTATTTTGTGTCCTATTTCTGTAAAATGAAATATATCCCCTTTTACCTGAGGAATGGTTAATTGTGGTTTGTGGAATTTGGTAGTATAGCAACATTATTCTGTTCCTAGTTGACTCAAGGAAAGTGTGGATAAGCTCTGCAGATCCTCACATTCTTCCTCCTTTTCAGGGTGTGGTCTTTAGAGAACAAGAATGCAGCTGTAGGAATAATTGGGTACCTTAAATAGAACCAATAAAATTAGCAAGGTAGTGTCACAGTGCATGCAGCTGTAAGTAGTGGTAAATTTAGAGTGTTCACAGTTCTTATTCAATATCTAAATGTAATTTATGGGGGCGGGGATGGGGGGAGATTTTGGAGGATCCTTGTAAATGGGCAATGCTCTTGCAGTTTGTATGATTAAGCGCTTATCTGACAAGCTAAAGATGGCTCATTTTGCCTCACCCAGCCTGGGGAGAGGTTGGTACTTTTACCAGCTTCCTGATAGCACCTAAGATGAGCACATAGGAAGGTCAGAATTGAGGTAAAAGTCTAGCAGAGGGCCCCTTTTGATGTGGCATTTTGAAACATTGAACGATGCAGTTGGTTTGGTTGAATGTGGCTGGAGACTTGGAGGAGAGTGAATTGGGGTGTCCTCAGTGTGCACAGAATTTGGCAAAATGGAGTTCCTTTTGCTCCACATAGTAAGTTGAGTCAGACATTGGCATCCTTTTTTGGAAGGGAAGAAAATTCTGATGGCTGGTTTTTGTTTTTACTTTGCTTTGATAAATCTAAAGGAAGTTAATGTTTGTTAAATATTCAGTGGTGGTGTGTCCCCTGGCTTAGTACGTTTTCTGTTGTCTGCAGCAAAGGGAGTGAAGTTACTGAGGTGGTTTTAACTAGCCTGGTTGATGCTTATCTGAAAAATGCTTTGTCAAGCTCATCTCTTTCTGCCTCTTAAATACACCTCCCATTTCCTTGGGTGACTGGTTTCAACCTCTTTCCTGACTCCTCATTAGGAAAATAATGAATTCTAAATTCCTTCTACGGTGTGGGGTTACTTGCTCAGTAGAGGCTGGCCGTCCTTTGGAGCCTCGTGGTCAGCGGAGGTGGGCGCTGGGGCCCTGCTTGCTCTGCAGCAGCTGCCTGGGAGCCAGTGCTCACCCACATCCGCCAGAGCCACTTCTCACTGCTTCTTATTGTCATTTCCCTCAACTTTCTAATATTTTTCTTTTTTGATTTTTGTTTTATGTTAAGCTCCATTTTTTCTTTTTTTTGTTTAATGCTAAGCTCCTCTGCATTTTAAAACTGTCTGAAACTTTAGTTGTATACCGACTTCTCCTACATATGTTAAGAGCTTTCTCTTGATACTGTTTATGTTAAAGATGTTTTTGGTTTTCTCCTTGAACAGCATTTGCCCCAAGGTGTGACTCTGGCGGTACTTGGAGAAGGCCAGCAGCATCATTATCATGGAGTCTTCTGCTAGATTGTTGTAGTTCAGATTTTAGACTGTTACTTTTACTTAGTTGTATGGTCCTGGAGACAGATAATGGAACAAAAAATATTTCACTATTGTAAACCTTCATTTTCTCAATTGTGAGTAGGAGTAAGTACGCACAACTTAGAGTGCAGGCTCTTAGTGTGTCATGCAATGAGTCTTCAAGCATGGACTGTGTTGGTGGTCAGGTTCTGTTTTTCAGATGATGTTTTTGGCTATGGGCAGTGCTTAAGATGAAGGGAAGACATTCTTATTTATTTATTTTTATTTCTGTCAGAATAACCTTTGTGGTGTGTCTTCATCTTTCCCTGAAAGAGCTGAAAGTAAATAGAATTGACAGGAGAAAAATAGTGTGATGCCCTTTAAAGTCCTTATTTTTGAGACATCTTGATGCCAGATCCTGTTTATAGTGTGTAGTCACTTCATCGTGGCCTTCTTGGGCTTCTCTGTGAACTGAAAGTGAACAGAACGTACTGAAAATTTGTGGATGAGTGATTGGTGTATAAACAACTGGTCAGAGAAAGCATGTTCTACCTGGAGGCAAATAATGAAATTTCAGCTTATGTTTTGACTTTCTGGAGTTGGTTTGTGACTCTCCTGCTGCAGAAAACTATTGAACTTTGAGAGTGTTCAAAAAACCTTAGTATGGATTGCAGTTGAATACCCTGTTTTATTTTACTAAGCAGCAGCCTCAGTCATTACTAATACCATTTATAGATTTTTTGTGAATTTTTATAGAAGACTGTCAGTTTCTGATGTGGAACTTCTCTGTAAAAGGATGTTTTGGCTGCAAATAGCAGAAAAGACAAGTCAGGCTGGACATGGATTGGCTGCTCTGCCTTGAAGCCTGAAGGTGGGATTGATTGAATCCAGTGGCTCAGGCCTCCCTGCTCTGCAGCTCTCTGTAGTCCATGTGTGTGTGGGCCTGCGCATACCAGCTTTGTCATTAGACTAGTTTCAGTGTTGGCAGCTCACACCTCACAGCTTAGGGTCACTCACGGAAGGTTAGAAGAGCCCAGAAGCTTCTTTCCCAGGAGCTACCAGTAAATGACTTATGTCTCTGGGACAGAATTGGGTCACATGGTTATTCAGAACCAGTATCATAGCCACAGTTTTGGGGTTATGCAGATTTGTTTGGGACTATACCACAAGTTTCATCAATTGAGCAAATGTGGAAGAAGCTTTTCTTCAGAGCTATCCAAACAAAAACTTGTGAGTACCTTTAGGAAAGGGAGGACGAGGACTGGATGGTAGGGAACCGTGGCCACTCTGATCCTTCCCTGGTTCCTGCTGTTTGTATGTGCTATGTGAAGATTTAAGTCAGTATGTAAGTTACCTAGAAGTTCGTGTTTATCTTTGGATACCACTTTGTTAGGGAACTTAGAAATTGTTTCCTTAAATCAATTGAAAAAGGAGCTTCCCTGGTGGTCCAGTGGCTAAGACTCTGCACTCCTAATGCAGGGCGTCCCGGTTCAATCCCTGGTCAGGGAATTAGATCCCACCTGCTGCAACTAAAGATCCTGCATGCCGCAATGAAAATTCCACGTGCCTCAACTAAGATCTGACACGGCCAAATAAAATATAAATAAATAAGTAAATATTAAAAAAAACAAAACAATTGAAAAGCAGTTTTATTTTGGTCATGACTCATATCTTTTCCTTTTTTAAAAATTTATTATTATTTATTTTTGGTTGCGTTGGGTCTTCGTTGCTGTGTGCAGGCTTTCTCTGGTTGCAGTGAGCGGGGGCTACTCTTCGTTGCGGTGCGTGGGCTTCTCATTGTGGTGGCTTCTCTTGTTGCGGAGCACAGGCTCTAGGCGCGCGGGCTTCAGTAGTTGTGGCATGTGGGCTCAGTAGTTGTGGCGGACAGGCTTAGTTCTGCGACATGTGGGATTTTCCCGGACCAGGGCTCGAACCCGTGTCTCCTGCATTGGCAGGCCTATTCTTAACCACTGCGCCACCAGGGAAGTCCCTAGATATTTGTTTCTAATGAAACAGTTAAAATACATATTTTTTCCTACAGCAGACTAAGTTGGTCAGTGCAGATTGAGTTCTAAGTTTTAAATGTTTTGTAGTTACTAGTATTCCTTGGAAATGTACCCTGATCTAGCAGTGTGATTTTTCTGGTTTGTAGATCCTCTAAGGAGAATGGGAGATGGCTTCTCTATTGTTGAGGAAGAAATTGATTGTAGAAAGAACTTTTGCTATTTAGTAACTTTTTAGGGCAAGGCCCTTTGAGCCTCAGTTCCAATTCCTTGTTTATGAAATTGAGGTATCTGCTTTGGCTAACTCACATGAGGTTAGTGAGTATCAAAAAACTATAGATAGTGAAATCTGATTGTGTTTATGTTTCATGTAAGAAAGTTCTGCATTTGGTCTTCATTTCAGAAATCAATATGATTCTTTGCCTACTGCCCCTTGCCAGCAGTGGGAAAATGAGACTAATAAAAATCCCTTGAATTCAATTTCAGCTATTTATATAAAAACAGTTTTAAAAAAATATGAAACAAAGATGTCTACTATGAGTTGTATGAATCAGTTTGTTTTTTGAATAAGGAAATGAATGTGTTGTGATTAAAGGTTAGATTGACATTTTGATGCCCTTGGGCTTTGCCTAACCTTCGAGATCATGGCCGTTTTCCACAGTGGCTTTGGCATCAGTAAAAGTGTTGGACACAAGACTGTCCCCACAGTTTTCTTTGCTCTGCATTTCTAGAATTTGGGTGTCTAATTGGAAGGTTCAGGAGTATTCAAAGCGGTCTTTGGCTGAGAGCCTTCTGGAGGCCATCTTTGTGTGTACGTTTATTATTTTACTGGACACTAAATTAACCAGTGATTAAAATCTAGTCTGGTCATTCCTAAGATTCTCCAATAAGCATTTAGATCTCTTCTACTTAGTGCAAGATGTGATAGGAGGGTTTAATTTTCAACCAAGTAACTCTTTAAAGTTCTCAAACATAAGAACTATATTTTAAACTATGTTTTAATGTCAAAATGAGATTAGATTCTCTGTTTAAGGAAATAACTGAGATTGGATTAATCTGGGCGGTAAAGTAATTGGATTTGGCTTTCAGGATATGTTAATGGTATAAGACCAAATTATGCCCAGACAGTGCAAAAGCATGTATGTACCCGAAGACCTTAAATGTTAAATCTGCTTTTCTTCTCCTGTACTTCTTAGTCTGTAAAAGTCTGTTTACAAAATACTTGATTTTTAGCGTGTTCTTGGTTGGTTGTGTTGTTGAGACTTGTGCAGAATTTTTGAGGTGAAATGATTGGTCAGTTGCATACATTTTAAAAGAGGTTCACAACTACTTATATAACTGCCTTCCTTCAAAAGTATGAATATTGAGTTTTCCAACTTTGTTCAACTCTGTGATTAAAGCATCAGCCTGTTGCCGATCTGACTTTTGGGCTTTCCTTGTGTCCTCAATCAAAACGAATCAAAGCTCTTTCCTCGCAGGATTGTCAGGGTTTTTTTTTTTTAAACTGCCTCATCTGATTCCTTCCCTTTGGCTCTTGAGTTTTGTATCAAGTTCAGCTTTTCTTATTTGCTGTCTGGTTTGCTAGGTGTACATTTACATGCCTGCTTCATCTTACTTTGCACTATCCATGCTTGCTTCGAACTTGTTTCTTGTACCCCTTTCAACTTTTTGTCCCTCTATACTTACAATTCTGGACCTGCCTCCATTTGGTTCTCGAAAAATAAAATTTCCTGAGTCATTCTTTTTGGAAACAAACTTCTGGTTAAGAGCTTGATTTTAACAGCTCTCTTCGGTAGCGCAGCTTTGTAGAAACCTAGTTGCTTGTAGATCCATAACAGTGGATGGTTATCCTCCTTTCTGTGGTCCCATGGGATGGGCTTAGTTTACTCAATGATTTGATTTCTCTTAAAATGTTTCTAGCTCTTTCAGAATCACTTAAGGTCTACATATAAGTTTACAAGGTCGTCTTAGAGATTATGCATCCTTTAAGGTTGGCTTCATCTAAGTCTTTAAGACTAAGAGATGGGAAAGCGCTGTATTAGCCTCTTAAATGCTATTTACCTTTGAAATGGGGTTCGTGCTTGTTTATGATGAAATGAGAAATCAGAACACGTTGATTCACATTGCAACTTGGGCATTCTAGTAGTGAGACACTGGTGAAATTCATTCATGAGTAGCTTTTTCTTTTAGACGCGTTTATTATTTATTTATTTATTTTGGTTGCACGGGGTCTTAGTTGTGGCAGGCAGGCTCCTTAGCTGTGGCATGCGAACTGTTAGTTGAGGCATGCACGTGGGATCTAGTTCCCTGATTAGGGATCAAACCCGGGCCCCCTGCATTGGAAGGCGGAGTCTTTTTAACCACTGTGCCACCTGGGAAGTCCCATGAGTAGCTTTTTTTATATTTGTAAAATTAGAAAGTTGTGATGGAGTTTAATATTTAAAGAGTACTCCTGTGGGTAGCTTCTTTCATTTTTCTTTTTAACTTTTTAGCAATAAGAACTGATCATCTAAGGAATAGGCCTTGTTATAAAGTTCTGTTTGTGCTGCCCTCTTGCCGTCTTTTTTAATAATGCAAATTCATGCAGCTTGGGAGCCTCTGTGGTGTCTGGATTATTGTCTTTCTGGGACACAGGTCTTCATTCACTGGTTTGCTTATCCTTTCAGCATCTACTTTAGATGTCGCAGACAGAATTAAAATCCAGGTTAGGAAAAGTAAGAGGAATGAAGATATATTGGTGATTTTCCTGCTAGCACAGCAGATCAACTAAAAATAAATTGCAGTGACTTAAGTTTGCAAGTATTAATATTGTTTTCAACTGTGTAAAGCCACTAAAGGGGCAGGCATCATTTTATTGAAAATCTGGGTTCAGTATGTACAGGGGGCGGGCAGTATCTACAGGGAGAATAGGAGACCAGTCTGAGAGATTTTAAGATAGGGTCTTTTGGAAGTGGTTATAAGTTACAGAAAACTGTTGGGAGCTGGAAGCAGATTGAAAACGTTCCTGGGAAATGAATGAAGCTGCTTGTTTCCACAGTGCTGTTTGGCTTTGTTGAGCAGTCAATCAGAATTAATTTTCCCTTATTATTTCTAAAATGTTTGCTACTGCTTTTAGTGTGTTTCCAGTTCTTGGTGCTGAACCTGTCAGTAGGAGTACACCTCCGAAATGACATGGTACATGCAAGGTGAGCACCGCCTGAGTGATTTGTTGCGGTGTATAGTCATCTGGTGAATGATGTGAACGCTCCTGTTTAGAACTCCTGAGAATTCCTTCTTTTCTCAAAGCTTAGTGGTTAAGAACCACAGACTCTGGAACAAAAATTCCAGCTCTTGAATACTGTGGTAGAGTTACTCAGTGTCTCTTTGCTCAGTTGCAGTGAGGGGACAGTAGTACTGCTCTCGAGGTATTCGTGTACCTTTTTTCTCAGGGGAAGCTGGGTATAGTGCCAATAAGCATTTAGTAGTTCACCTATTTAAAAAATTGTGTTTTTTTTGCGGTACGCGGGCCTCTCACTGTTGTGGCCTCTCCCGTTGCGGAGCACAGGCTCCGGACGCTCAGGCTCAGTGGCCATGGCCCACGGGCCCAGCCGCTCCGTGGCATGTGGGATCCTCCCGAACCAAGGCATGAACCCGCGTACCCTGCATCGGCAGGCGGACTCTCAACCACTGTGCCACCAGGGAAGCCCAATTCACCTATTGTTAGCATTACTAAATAAACTAGCTTGATTAGATTAAGTAAGCTTTTTTAAGGAAATAACATTATTAAAGTGGTAATTCGTTTAACAATAAGTAGTCTCTGTTTTTATCTATTGAGTTTTTTTTTAAAGAACAAGGCAGAAGCTCTAGGATTATGTGACGTGTTTACTGAATTTAGAACATTATGATTAGGTGTCAGGTATGATATTTTAAACGTGAATGAAGTTTAGTTTAATAGATTACTGATAGACTTAAAGAGCCCCGTACTTAATGATATTCATTTTGGTGAACTTGTAAAATGGTGGTTTTCTTTAGGAGAGAACGCAGCTTGGCTCTACTGATCATCGTGTATCTTCTTCTTCTTATTTTTTCCTAACAGAAAGCGTGGATACCCATCAGCGAAGTTTTGATATTGGAATTCAGATTGGCTATCAGCGACGCAATAAGGATGTGTTGGCTTGGGTTAAAAAGCGCAGAAGAACTATTCGTAGAGAAGATTTGATCAGCTTCCTGTGTGGAAAAGTTCCTCCACCGCGAAACTCTAGAGCTCCCCCAAGACTGACTGTAGTGTCCCCTAACCGAGCTACTTCAACGGAAACTAGCTCATCTGTAGAGACTGATTTGCAACCCTTCCGGGAAGCCATAGCTCTGCATGGTAAAGCCGTTTAAACATATTTCTTTGGAAAAATGGTTAAGAGTGTGCCTGTGGACCCAATTTCACATTTAGGTTTAGGTCCAGATATATTGTCTGTTTTTTGTCTATTCTAGTTACTACTTGCTCTAGAAATGTTTAAATAGAATGTAAGCTAAGAACTTATATGGGCAATTTTTGAATGTTAGCCAGCCTATCCTAAAAAAAATGTTTTTAGAAAGTTAGTTTGAGCTGATTGGTGTTACAATAACAGCATTTTTTGGAACATTGATTAGAATTTATTGCTTTACACACTTATATTGTACATGTTTCCGTACTCTTCTGAGTCAAAGAGGAAGTTCTTGTGTCTTAAGAATACTATTGCCTTTATAATTACCTGGAGAGCCTAGTCAGTTACGGGCAAGTAAGGCAGATAACTGTTGGGCTAGTTCTCATGGGAACTCCCTTTGACACCTTAGGTTACTGAGTGTGCCTGTAGAACGTGAGCGTTGATGACCCAAGAGGGAGTGGACAGATGTAAGAATAATTAAATTGACTTTCCTTATGTCTGTTGTCCCTTAGGGCCTTGCTTTGATAGGACTGTTAGAGAACAGGTCCATCACCATCTCTCCAGGCCAGACCTGCCATAAAAAGACATTCTTGGCTGAGGGGTTTAAGTATTACTGGAGAAGCCTGGGGTGTGTAGTCAGTAAGTTTGTTGTTGCTTGTTCTCTAATACAGGCTTCCAGATAGAACTGGGAGAGGTACTTATAGGACAGTCAATACTGCTGTAAAAATAAAACAACAAAATAATAAGACTTGGTTGAAGCCAAGATGAAAACATGGATTGTACAAGTGACTAAACAGATAGAAGTAATTAGTGAGTTAGCTCATGAGTCCTGTTAAAAGTTAACATATTTCTGAGCCATAGTGTAGGTCATCTAAAATAAAATAACCTGGTGATAAAAACTGGGATGTATACAAAGGGCTTCTATATCATCTAAGCTTTAATGCTTACAGAGATCTTGTTCTCTTTGGCAAACATTGATTCTTTATCTAAAACGCCATTCAGAACATGGGAGTTGGAAAAAGTGTTGTTTTTTTTCCCCTCCTGATTGTGAATTTGTTTACGATAAGTTAAAAACACAAAAACATTTTATTGCAAGGAAGTCCATGATGTATGGATGCAGTACGTAAGACTGCTTGCTGTTTCTAATGTAGTGGAATAGTTGATGCTGTCAGAAAGTTTGAAACTCAGGCAAAATAGAGATTGATCTGTTCCTACTGAATTAGTTTGACATCTTTTACCATTGTTTGAAAAAAATTACTACAAGTGTACATAGTTTGTCAGATTAATTTTAGTGCATGGTAGTATTTGATGTAGTTGTGTTTTCCTTAAGCATTTTGATTTCCTTTGTCATCAAGTGGATTTATGATTCATTCCATATTTCTCTTGTTGAAGTGTCTTTTTTTCTGTATTATACTCTACTATAGAAGGTAGTTTTAAGAAACATAAATGCCACTCTTGTTATAAAATCTTAATGCAGTTGTACACATTGTAAAAAGGGCAAGCTAGCAGCCCTCCCCCCTGCAACTACTACTATATTCTCCACATCTCATTACATTTTCTTAAATTGAGTTTATTCAACTTGTGATTTATTATTTTACTGAACTTTGGGAGTTTTAGTGGTGATGTAGATTTAGGAAGGTACTATTTATAATTTTGACTTATGTTTAAATTGTGAGGGTTTAAAAAAGTTTAATTATAAAGCTATAGAAAAATAACCTTTCCCTTCAATAAACTTACGAAGTAGTGCCAATCCAGAGTACATTGGATTCCTAGGGTTCATAAACTGAATTCATGTAGTTAAAACATGAAGTTGCTATGCAGTAATAGGGCCCCTTGAAAAGAGTACACAGAAACATTATATACTGAGTTTTGTGTTATATTGGTTTTAGAGGACATAGCTGTGTTGGGAATGCTAGTCTGACTTGAGTATTTTTAGTAATTTGAATGATTTCTAATAGGGCATTGTTAACTAAATTGTAAAGCAGATTAACGACTAACTTTGTAACCAGGTGTCCTCATGATCTGATTTATTGAATAGCTGTAAATTGAAGTCAAAACTGTTTAGATCTTTTAAAATATATTTGGAAATTCATCTTAATTAGGGTACATACTGGTCAGAATTTGGTTTTGCATAGAATTTACTTAGCCAGATCTATGAAATGTGAGGTCAAATTGAAGTTCTTGGGGTTCTACGTTGGAGGGAGAGTCTAAATTCATGAAGTTTTGGGGTGCCAGGGGGAGACAGGAAAAGAATTGGTATACTGAGGCTGACTTAGATTTATAATCAAAGCAAACATTAGTGTAGGAGTCATATTGATTTATTCTTATCCATAAGCAACCTCATGTCCTTAAAAGAGAGGACAGGGCTTCCCTGGTGGTGCAGTGGTTGAGAGTCCGCCTGCCGATGCACGGGACACGGCTTCGTGCCCCAGTCTGGGAGGATCCCACATGCCGCGGAGCGGCTGGGCCCATGAGCCATGGTCGCTGAGCCTGTGTGTCCGGAGCCTGTGCTCCGCAACGGGAGAGGCCACAACAGTGAAAGGCCCACGTACAGCAAAAAAACAAAAGAGAGGACAGTTACCCCTGTAATTTTTTCTTTTTTTCTTTATCGGCTCACTTCCAGCAATGCCACCCATATGTGCTATATGTTCTTTATATGAAGACAGATGGCCAGGATATAAGATAATTGTAGAGTTTTTCATGTAGACAGTGAGGGTGTGATGATAAGATCCTTTGATCAGTACCCTCATGAGCCTTACATTTAAGTATTGCAATTAAAAGTACATCAATTAATGATTATCAAACAGTTTCAATCAAAACTGTCAACTAATGGTTATGGAGGTTTAAGGAATATAATCCAGTGCTTTATTTTGGCACTTGTTTGCAACATATGTTGTTTATTTTCTGTGTAACATGATATCTCCTTATCTGGATGCTAAACTCACCAGAGAAATCAAAGAAATGTATATGCATGTGCTAAATTGATCTCTGTCCTTTCCTTATTCATCCTTGTCCTAAAATAACATTATCAAAAATTTACTGAGAACTGGATTAATAGCTGGCACCTTGTTTTTATGTAAACAAATTTCAGATAGACCAAAAATCATCTGGACCATTTTGTGGTTCCCTGCCTGCCTTTCTGATTATTCCTCTCTTAGTCATCCTTTCTCTTCTAGAGACTTTTATTGTCTTCTCTTTAGGCTACTTTGACCTCTGACCTTTCAGTGACTTAGGTTACATTCCCCAGGGTTTAGCCTTTAGCTACCTTCTCCTGCAATCCCTTTAAGGGCCATTTCAGTCTTAATTTCCAAAATTGGTTCTTATAGTTTAGACCCTCTCTCCTGATTGCTAAAGACGTATGCCCCATTGTCCCCTGGTGGACATCTCCACCAGGGTGTCCTGCAGGTGTTCAGAGCGGACTCATCTAGCCTCAACAAAGCAAAAACAGGTCTTTTTTGTTTTTGTGACCTTGCCACTCAGCAGATGCGTACGTGGCAGATTCTGTGCAGTTTCTAGGGAATATATGATTGAATAGGGGGCTTCCTTTTCTGTTGAGGCCAGTGCATACTTGGATGATTTATTTTGATGTCATATGTAAGGTGTTCTGGGGTCAGAAAAGGACATTTCGCAGTGCGGCCTGGCCATGGGTTCAGAGAAGGCTATTCTGGAGGAGGTGAGTTCTGGGCGCTTGGAATAATCTCCTTCCTGCTCTTGCTTCCCAGTCCTGAGTTAACCCATTCACCAGTCCCTCTTTCCTGGGACCACTGGAGTGATCTTTTTGATCTTGTTGCTTCACTGAAAAATAACCTTTGTATCCCTGTGTCCTCTAGGATGAAGCCTGAACTGAGCACAACATTGTAAGACTCTTGTGGTTTGATCTGACCTTGGGTCAGATATCTTAGCTATACTGTGTAATCTTTTGAATACCTTCATGCTCTTTTCTAAGGTTTCCTTCTGCCTGTTCATCCCTTCAGACAGATCGAACATCTGTGACGAAGCTTTCCTTCAGTTCTCCCGATTTTCTCCAACCTTCCCTGAGCTGGGTGTCTGCTCTCCCCTTTTGCTTTGCTTCCATAGCTATCCCTTCCCATAGACTGGGGCTACAGTGGTGCAGGGACCATGTCTTGGAGCTTCTGGCTTTAACAGAACCTGGCATAGATGTGTTCTGAGCTTAATACAGGGATTCAGAGGTCTGCTAAGTCAACGCAGTGGGGGCAGAGAACCTTTCCAAAGAGTTGAGGCTTACAGATCCCCAGGTGACTGCAGTATGAGGAGGGTGAGGAGAATGGAGAACAGAGCCGGGTGTATCTTAGTGCTGTAAAGTCAGCTCTTCACACTGAACAACTGAGTCTTGGAGTGGGGCCTGAGGGTGATGTACCTTTAGAGCGGTTCTTTCAGTGTTTACTTCACGTCAGCATCCTGCTGAGGAGGGTCTCATTTAAAACTAATACTTCCCCTGGATTATTGCCGTTTTATTGATGAAGAAGGCTTATTTGGCTAAAATAGACCAGGTCAGTAAATGGTAGAACAGATATTCCAGATCTGTCTGGTTCCCCAATTCAGTACCTCTACATGTGTACATTTGGGGTTTCTTCCCCCCCCCCCCTTAGTAGGGCTGGTGGATGGCATGGGAAAGGTCTCCAGGCTTGTTTTTCTTCGCTAAAGACATCAGACTATATACATAAGTTTGGTATTTCTTGCTGGAGTTTTTCCCCATAAGTGAATCTGGATAAGTAGGCTTGAAGATGAATGGCTTTAACCTGTATTTCTGGTTCATTTTAGCAGGAAGAGTATTTAGGCTTTGTACATAGGCTGCGTTCCCAGCATGACCTTGGGCAAGATGGCTAATGTCTCCAAGGCAGTCTCCTGAAAAGGAGATACATAAAGTGAGAAGCAGAGTACCCACCCTTAAACAAAGTGTTCTTTGCCTTGAGAGAAGGAGGACTTCTGCTTA